TATTTTGAATTATTTTTGCTAGATCGAGTTCGACAGTGAATCAATAGTCGTTAGTTATTCTAGCTAAATTATGTGAGCAACAATTAAATGACTCATTGTTGATGAATAAGTCGGATGTTGTATTCAATTTCAAGACAAGTATTTCGATTTACTTTCGCTAAATCGAGTTCGGCAGTGAACTACTAGCCGTTAATTTTTCTAGCTAAATTATTAATGCAGCAATTAAATGACTCTTTGTTCATGAATCAGTGTGATGTCGTATTCAATTTCTAGAATCAAATTTGAATTTAGTTTTGCTAGATTGAGTTCGACAGTGAATCAATAGCCGTTAGTTATTCTAGCTAAATTATATGAGCAACAATTAATTGACTCATTGCTGACGAATCAGTCGGATGTTGTATTCAAATTCAAGAATTTTTGATTTGATTACTGCTTGGTTGAGTTCGACAGTAAATCACTAGCCGTTAGTTTTTTTTGCCGAATTTTTTGAGCAACAATTAAATGACTCATCGTGGATGAATCAGCCGGATTTTTTTTTCAATCTCAAGATAAGTTTTTTGAATTACTTTCGCTAGATCGAATTCGGCAGTCAATCACTAGCCGTTAGTTATTCTAGCTAAATTATTAATGCAGCAATTAAATGACTCATAGTTGATAAATCAGTGGGATGTCTTATTCAATTTCTAGATACAAAGTTAAATTTAGTTTTGCTAGATCGAGTTCGACAGTGAATCACAAGCCGTTAGGTATTCTAGCTAAATTATTTATGCAACAATTAATTGACTCATTGCTGACGAATCAGTCGGATGTTGTATTCAAATTCAAGAATTTTTGATTTGATTACTGCTTGGTTGAGTTCGACAGTAAATCACTAGCCGTTAGTTATTTTTGCCGAATTTTTTGAGCAACAATTAAATGACTCATCGTGGATGAATCAGCCGGATTTTTTTTTCAATCTCAAGATAAGTTTTTTGAATTACTTTCGCTAGATCGAATTCGGCCGTCAATCACTAGCCGTTAGTTATTCTAGCTAAATTATTAATGAAGCAATTAAATGACTCATCGTTCATGAATCAGTGTGATGTCGTATTCAATTTCTGGATACAAATTTGAATTTAGTTTTGCTAGATTGAGTTCGACAGTGAATCAATAGCCGTTAGTTTTTCTAGCTAAATTATATGAGCAACAATTAAATGACTCACTGTTGATGAATCAGGCGGATGTTTTTTCAATCTCAAGATAAGTATTTTGAATTACTTTCGCTAGATCGAATTCGGCAGTCAATCACTAGCCGTTAGTTTTTCTAGCTAAATTATTAATGCAGCAATTAAATGACTCAAAGTTGATAAATCAGTGGGATGTCGTATTCAATTTCTAGATACAAAGTTAAATTTAGTTTTGCTAGATCGAGTTCGACAGTGAATCACTAGCCGTTAGTTATTCTAGCTAAATTATTTATGCAACAATTAAATGACTCATTGCTGACGAATCAGTCGGATGTTGTATTCAAATTCAAGAATTTTTGATTTGATTACTGCTTGGTTGAGTTCGACAGTAAATCACTAGCCGTTAGTTTTTTTTGCCGAATTTTTTGAGCAACAATTAAATAACTCATCGTGGATGAATCAGCCGGATTTTTTTTTCAATCTCAAGATAAGTTTTTTGAATTACTTTCGCTAGATCGAATTCGGCAGTCAATCACTAGCCGTTAGTTATTCTAGCTAAATTATTAATGGAGCAATTAAATGACTCATAGTTGATAAATCAGTGGGATGTCGTATTCAATTTCTAGATACAAAGTTAAATTTAGTTTTGCTAGATCGAGTTCGACAGTGAATCACTAGCCGTTAGTTATTCTAGCTAAGTTATTTAAGCAACAATTAAATGACTCATTGCTGACGAATCAGTCGGATGTTGTATTCAATTTCGAGATAGTTTTTTTTGAATTATTTTTGCTAGATCGAGTTCGACAGTGAATTACTAGCCGTTAGTTATTCAAGCTAATTGGTTTCAGCATTATTTAAATGTCTCAATATTGATGATTCAATCGGAAGTTGTGTTCAGTTTTCAGACAAGTATTTCGATTTACTTTCGCTAGATCGAGTTCGGCAGTGAATCACTAGCCGTTAGTTATTCTAGCTAAATTATGTGAGCAACAATTAAATGACTCATTGTTGATGAATAAGTCGGATGTTGTATTCAATTTCAAGACAAGTATTTCGATTTACTTTCGCTAAATCGAGTTCGGCAGTGAATCACTAGCCGTTAATTTTTCTAGCTAAGTTATTAATGCAGCAATTAAATGACTCTTTGTTCATGAATCAGTGTGAGGTCGTATTCAATTTCTAGATACAAGTTTGAATTTAGTTTCGCTAGATCGAGTTTGACAGTGAATCAATAGTCGTTAGTTATTCTAGCTAAATTATGTGAGCAACAATTAAATGACTCATTGTTGATGAATAAGTCGGATGTTGTATTCAATTTCAAGACAAGTATTTCGATTTACTTTCGCTAAATCGAGTTCGGCAGTGAACTACTAGCCGTTAATTTTTCTAGCTAAATTATTAATGCAGCAATTAAATGACTCTTTGTTCATGAATCAGTGTGATGTCGTATTCAATTTCTAGAATCAAATTTGAATTTAGTTTTGCTAGATTGAGTTCGACAGTGAATCAATAGCCGTTAGTTATTCTAGCTAAATTATATGAGCAACAATTAATTGATTCATTGTTGATGAATCAGTTGGATGTTGTTTTCAATTTCAAGACAAGTATTTTGAATTATTTTTGCTAGATCGAGTTCGACAGTGAATCACAAGCCGTTAGTTTTTCTAGCTAAATTATATGAGCAGCAATTAAATGACTCATCGTTGACGAATCAGTCGGATATTCTATTCAGTTTCAAGACTTTTTGAATTGATTTTTGCTGGGTTGAGTTCAAGGGTAAATCACTAGCCGTTAGTTGTTCTTGCTGATTTTTTTGAGCAATAATTAAATGACTCATCGTTGATGAATCAGTCGGATGCTGTATTCAAGTTCAAGATAAGTTTTTTGAATTACTTTTGCTAGATCGAGTCGGCAGTGAATCACTAGCTGTTAGCTGTTCTAGCTAATTTATTCATGCAACAATTAACTGACTCATTGTTCATGAATCAGTCGGATGTTGTTTTATGTTTCAAGATTTTTTTTTGAATTGATTTTTGTCTGATTGAGTTTGATAGTGAATCACTAGCCGTTTGTTTGTCTGGCTAAAAAATTCATGCAACAATTAAATGACTCATCGTCGATGAATCAGTCTGATGTTGTAATCAATTTCAAGATTTTTTTTGAATAAATTTTCGCTTGATTGAGTTCGACAGTAAATCACTAGCCGTTAGTTATTCTTGCTAAATTAATTTAGCAATAATTAAACGACTACTTGTTGATGAATCAGTCGGATGTTGTATTCAAGTTCAGGATAAATCTTTTGAATTACTTTCGCTAGATTGAATTCGACAGTGAATCTTAAACGCTAGTTATTAAATGCAACAATTAAATGACTCATCGTTGTTGAATCAGTCGGATGTTGTATTCAATTTTAAGATTTTTTGAATTGATTTTCGCTTGATTGAGTTCGACAGTGAATCACTAGCCGTTAGTTATTCTTGCTAATTTCTTTGAGCAACAATAAAAAGACTCATCGTTGATTAATCAGTCGGATTTGGTATTCAAGTTCAAGGCAAGTATTTTGAATTTTTTTTGGTAGATCGAGTTCGACAGTGAATCACTAGCCGTAAGTTATAATAGTTTATTTATTTATGCAGCAATTAAATGATTCATTGTTGATGACTCAGTCGGATGTTGTGTTCAATTTCAAGATGTTTTTTTTGGTTTCGCTAGATTGATTTCGACAGTGAATCACTAGCCGTTAGTTATTCTAGATAAATTATTACAGCAACAATTTAATGACTCGTTGTTGATCAATCATTCGGATATTGTTTTCATTTTTATGAATAAGTTCGACAGTGAATCATTTGCCGTTAGTCATTCTAGCTAACTTATTTGAGCTACAATTGACTCATTTTTGATGAATCAGTTGGTTGTTGTAGTCAAACTACATAGAATTTGTTTTCACTGGATTGAGCTTGACTGTGAGTCACTAAACGTTAGTTATTCTGATTAATTTTTTTGCTTGTTAGTTTTTCACATGCAAAATGTGTGTGGATGTCTTGACTTCGTTATATTCCAAATTTTTACATGCCAAATTGTGTCTATTGTTTTTAGTTCCTGCATCGCATTAGCAATTTTTTAGCATATATAGCTGCTTTTTTGTTGACTAGTGTTTGTCGGCTGTTAAACGTTCGTGGCGGAGCGGGAAGGGCGTGAGACTCTAAATCTCGAGGTCAAATCCGTTTCGTAGCAAAGGTTAAATAATTTGAGGCTTATGTTTTTCTTATCTGACTTTATAAGGCTGCTTTTTTGTGGTGTCATCGCTAGTGTTTGCGAAGCGCAGCTTAGCCTCTGTGTATAAGTTTAATTTCGCTAGATTGAGATGAACAGTGAATCACTACTCGTTAGTTGTTCTAGCTAATTTTTTTGCAACATATGTTGCTTTCTTGACGTATCATTCGATTGTTGTTTTCAGCTTCACATACTATAGCCATATTTTTTCCGCTTGGTTTTCGAAAGAGTTCGAAAGATTTTTTTTTTTCAGTTTTATAGAGGAATAGGAGTTACAGATCGATCAATTTTTCTGCCGCATTTGTTGCTTGCATCAAATTTGTCAGAGAACATCTTCACAAAGTTGAAACCTTAAGCAGGAAGTAATTTGTTTTATTTAATTTCGGCTGAGCAAAATTCTTTCGATAAGTGCTATCAGTGGCTTGGATTTTATAGCGTGATTGTGATTGATTGTTGGTTGGCAAGGACTCTTGCTGAATATATGGGCATTTTTTAAGTTTTATAAATAATGATAAGATAACTAACGCAAGAAAATATTAACCTTGTCTGAATATGATATAGATGTTCGAGTTTCAAGATGAATCGAGAAGGAATTGTGTTGCAGAGAAAACCATTTGATTTCTATCGAGTTCTTTTTGACGATGGCTTGGAGTCAAAAGACCTGCTTGCTGAAAATTTCTTCGTACGTTGTTTATGGTTACTCTCCATTTTTCTTTCTTTTGTTTTTCTCCAAAGATATTTCGATGAGAAGAATACCAAGTTTGGTAGCGTTCTTAGATTATCTGGCAGCAATTATTTTGAATTATATAGTGTGCTTTTGGCAATAGAAAATTTGGTCCAGTTTTTACGCTCTTTTTTTCTTTTAAAAAAGAAGTTGGTTATTCTGATTAGTTCTTTCACAGGCTGAAAACAGTTTTTGTTGCAGTTGAAAAAAACACAGGCTAAATATTTGTATTATTTGCCTTGCAGTTATGTGGGCATTTTTTTAAACCATTTTGTTGAAAACTGATTGATGCAAAAAAAAACTCGAGCTAACATGAATTTACCAATAAGACTGATGCGCCCTCATTAAGTGCGTTTTTTGGCTATTTTTCTCAGCTAAGAATTGTTTTCTCGCCCGCTTGCAAAGAGAAGAGCAGGGTTCAAGGTGTTTTTCTTGCTATTTAGTGTGGATTAATCCAGTTGATCCTTTTTACTTGTTCCTAGGGCCATGACTGGGTTGCGCGTGGTGTGCCGCGTCTCAACGATCGCGTAAACATATTGTGGTCAGATGAGCAGCTGCATCAGGCCAAGTTCACAGGCATCATCAGGGTCAACTACTGCCAGGTGTTGTTCCACGATGACGCATCACTGCAATGGGTCGAAGAGAAAAACCTCTTATCCAGATGAAATCATCTCCATGTTCATACTTTGCATCAAAATTAATGCAGAGCCGAAACACGATGTGCTTTAACGGGATAGATGCCAAGCCGAAACAGTTAAAATCGCTTCAAGAAATGGTCTAACCTGTTGTTCAGAATTAATTTGCAGCAGTTAAAAAAGGGATGCAAATACTCTGGCTCATATAGAAACTTGTGCATTCTGAAGTTATTTTATTGGACAATTAAAAACTGTAGATAATTAGAAATCTTTGCCTTCAAATGACTGGGGTATTAGTTCTGTCTTTCTATGGTTTGTACATTTTTTTTTCGCTAAATCTTGTATTTATGGTGTTATTGGATTACCAATTTTTACTTCCAATTTTATTGTATGATTTCCACAAAGAAACATATATGCTCATGTGTTTTTTGTTTATTAGCTATTTAGATGAAAAATTTCATGAATGTAGCTCGTGTTATTTTTTTGTTTCGTTCTTTTTTCAGGAAAAAGATTGAAAAGTTGTTCAAACTCAAATATGATTTTTACCTGTTTGATTTTTTTAAAAATTTTATTCAAATTCATTTGCTAAAATGAAGGCCAATTCTGCTCTGCGATGAAAGTTCACATGGTGCGAAAACATGTTAATGACGATCAGTTAAAAAATTTTATTTTAATTTTCAAAATTCCTAGCGGAGTTTTAAAAGTATCAATTTATCTTATCTAGTTTTCTCAAATTCGGTTGGTCTTATTAGAAGTGTCAATGATTACACAAGCAAAGCTTGTTTTAAAGTATGAACTATCTTTTTTCCCAACCTAAGTCGCAAATTTTGTTGCGACTAAATGTGTTCATTTTGATAGTGTTCACTTTGATAACAATAACAAGCTATTAAACCCAGGAAATGCTAAGGATATTAACACAGACTATTTTATTACAAATAGCACTTTAGCTTCAAGGTATCGTGCATCTGTAGCGTAGAGGTAGGGAAGAAGACCAGCAACAAAATAAGAGGGTTCGAACCTGGCATAGTAGGATGTTTTCAATGAACTTTTTCGTATACTAGCTAAAATGCGTCCGGTCTATAAATTGAGTCATGTTAATTGGTAATTTTTTTCCAATTGACTCTGCATCTGTGTAAAAATTCATCTGGAAGTTCAAAGAGCTTTGAAATTATGTATTTTTTCTTTGAATTTTGAAAGCGTTTGAAAACTGAAAGACTTTAAGTTTTGATAAACAAGCCAGTCCTAATGTTAGGCAGAACCACTCTAGGGCAAGTATTATCATATTTGCTGGTTTATAAGAGCTTGCTAATACCATGTTTGGCAATTATCATTGTTTTTTTGCTTGTGCCTCGTCAATCGAACCAAAAAGACGGGGAAGTTAACATAATTTAACGTAATCAAAGTGCTAATGGCTAATTGTTCCGACCATCGAAAATGGGAAGGAAATTTGTTTTCGAGTGTGTTTTAGTGATATATCATATTAAAGCCCTTGTAGTCGTAATTCGAACCACATTGAAAATTTCAAAAAAATTCTCTGTCGAGAAAAATTGGTTCGATTTTTTTTTGATTTTTCGTCTTTATTTCGAGCTAATAAAGCGAGCGAGCAGTTTTGTTTTAATTGCCTAAAAGCTTACAATATTTAATTTAAAACGTAAAAACTTAGTTTTACTTGGGTAACGTTAGTTTACTTTGAGTATTCTAGAGCCTTTTTGGATTGTTTTTTCGTTTTTCTAATAATCTACAAATATTGTTTTTCAATTTGCTTATTTTAGTATGGCTGTCGAATATACCTAATCCCCAGTTTTTTTTGTTCAGCTCCTTTTATTACCCCACGTTGAAAGATAAACGACGAAAAAACTTGGTTGTGTTTTTTTTAAGACTATGGTCGGAACGTTCTGTGCTACTTGCACAGTAACCGGCAATCCTTGTTATTGTTTGTTGTTTTCTTAACATCCATTTTTCATAAGTGCCTAGGAAGTTATTACCTCAAAAAACGGTATGAGAAAAAACCTGCAAACGAATTTGATTGAGCAAGTTAAATGAAATGGTTTTGAAAATTCCAGGTGCTCTTAGATTAACTTACATCGGCGAAAGTTTTCTTTATCGCGGTTCGGGATTTGAAGGTAAAAAACGAATAGTGGTGTCGGAATACTTCCTGTAGCAGCAAAATTGCTCCAGCAAGCAGAAGACATTTCGTGCGGCGCACGATCTCAAAAAGTTAAATATTTTAGAACTGAGTTATCACAAGTCGTTTGTTTTCTGCTAGAAGTTCAATCCCAGAAATTGAAAGCCCTCATTATGCGACGCTAGGAGATAATAAGGGCCATGGCCTACTTAAGCTGGTCACAAAAACTAAATCTTGAAGTAAAAGTCAAAGCTTTGATCATTTGCCAAATAAACGTTTTTCTTTGATTGATTAATATTATTACATCGCTTTGACTTGTTTCGGTTTTCGAAAAAAGTGGCGCTGTTATTGTTTGTATTTTGATTCATACCATTTTTTTATCTACGTGTTTTTGCTGGAAAATTTAAAAATATTGATAGTTATCCTGAGGTCAAATTTAGAGAATTTTTACCTGTGATTATTTTTCGCGAAATTAATGGGTTTTGAAAATAGTCAATGTCGAACAATTGATGATTGCGAAAATTCCAAGCGCGTCGCATACGCGGCCAAGAACGTTGGAATTAAAACCAGCTGAGAAATTATTCCAAATTTTAACAAAGATAGCCGGTTGATGCGCAAGTAGCACAGAATGTTCTGAAAACACGAATAAAAAATACAAAAAAAAGGTTTTCGTTCTTAAAAATAGTCTTTGTTTTTGTGACTGGTCTGTTAAGAGAACTATAAAAACGCATTGAATTTCAGTTAAATAATCATAATTGAAAACAATTGTCTTCAAACAATGAACACGGATAGCCGTTATCTGTGCAAGTAGCACGGAATGTTCCGACCATAGTCTTAAAAAACACAATTTTTTTTTTCGAATTTGTCGTTTTTTCCGCGTAGTGCGATAAAGAAACTGAACAAAAAATAGAACTTAGGCATATTCGACATTCATAGTAAAATGGGCGAATTGGAAAATCGTTTTAGTAGAAAAATGACTAGATAAACGAAAAAAAAATCGTTAAAAAAATTCAAAAAAAAATTAGTTTTGCAGAAAGTTTTTGATGTTTAAACTTTTTGATTCCCAAATTGGAGCTAAAAAACTCCAAAAATTAACTGTACTCTTGTAAAAATAAATAGCCTCGCCTTTATTAGCTTGAATTTGGAGTCACCTAAATTTTCAAACTGGTTTTTCTCGACACCGAGAAATTTTTTAAAGTTTTTTTAATGTCGTTCGAATTGCAGCTGAAGGGCCTTGCGATGATATCGTTATCCACCCGTTCTGATTTGGGGTACCTGATTTTGCGTAGAAAACAAAAAAAAGCAAAAAACACCCGGATACTCAGTTCCTCCCCATTTTAACTAGTTGGAGCAATGGGGAGCTAATTGATCCAAATAATGTGCTAGTAGATGCGAAATTTTTCTTTTTGTGCCTTACATTGGGTGATTTTGACTGGCCAGAAAAGACATATTTTGATCAACAATAATTAATTTCAAAAATAGTACGAAATTAAAAATCCATGAATAGCGATGATTATAGATTACGAATTGAATAGATTATACATGATAATATAGATAGTCTATCCATATTGCTCTGAGGATCACGTGGTGGATGATTTAGAGTCTGCTGATCCTAAACTGTAGTCGTCGTTAGATGAAGGTGTATGGTTAGTGTAGCATGCGGAATTGGTGGCTGTAGCCGTATTGGGGGCTCCTGTCGATTTCTTGAAGAACACAACATCCACAAAAGGGTGAAGGGAGTGTCGCATCTGTTTGCATGGTCCGGACACTAAAAGAATGTACTCTTCCATTAAATGGTATGCTTAGAAAATCATGTTAATAGTACTACCAAAAAGGAAATCTGAAACTAGTGACACACATGCGCAAAGTTATAAAGAGTGGATTGCAGAATAAAACGAAAGGGTAAAATAGAAAACAATTATGTTTGCTATGTTTAAGTCCTAAAGGTCGGATTTTAATCCCAGCTCTTAAAATTGCAATTAGATACGCTCATTTGTTCACGATAGCGTAATAAAGTATTGTCTCATCTGATATGGAACTCACGGCTTCATAATAATAGAAGTTTCGTCAGCGATTAAACTTTTAAAAAACCCAGTCTATTCCACTTGAGACTTTCCCCACAATTATGATGGTAGGGGCAGGTAATTATGACGAGAAATCACCCAGAGAAGTGTTGATCTGCATAGGCTCGTAGCACTTGGATGTTATTTGGTCGAACAAGTATAACTGGAGCATGCGCAGCTGAGTGTATCTTCTGTCGCACATGGAGGTGTGGCAGCACGTGGTCCAAACATCCGTCTCGAACTCCCACCGGAACCACGACTGCTTCCTGAGAAATCAAAACGGAAGTTATTATAAACTTTCAAACATCATTTCATTAATAGAGGGAGGATACAATTTTGGAATAATCAACTCTGACAAAAAAAATAAAATTTAAGAGTTGAATCATTTTTTTGCGACAGATTGGTGTTTGTTCCTATGTTTCACATGCCAGAGAAGATTAACTTCTGCCATGCGTAACGTTTTCTCACAATGGACTTCGGTAGCTTAAATTGTAAATTTTTGTTACTACAAAATTTGGCTTATACCGACTCTTGAACTTTTTATTCACTTATGTGATGTGCATATTCTCTGCCAAAACCCAGGGTTCAAAAGGTTCATTACACATGCGAGCTAGCGAGCGTAGTATTATATTGCGAATCCACTTGTTTCTAACCCAACTCGCAAAAAAAAGTGCCCATTTGATGCGAGGACGTAATCTATCCTTTTCTATCCTTATTTCACTTGTTTTGCCTTTTTATAGCCGCTTCCGTAATTTTCTTGCTTGTGTTTGTGAGTTCTTTCTTGTGTTTCCTAATTGTTATGAAGTTTGGAACAACACCTGTCAACCATGGAAAAACATCCATATTAAAATGTGGCACATCCGAACAAAACTGAATTTGTTTTGGGAAAATGATCAGAGATTTACAATTTCTGACTTTCCATTGATATTTTTTAAATGCAAACTTCACACGTGTGTGAATCGTAGAAGGGATATGTGTTGGTACTCACGTCTTCCACCTCTGATAGAGAGCCCTCTGGGATGTGCCTTCCCCCTGACTGGGGTACTGGATAGTCTCCCATTTCTTCACCCTGAACGTGGAGGAGATCTTGTCCACCAGAAGTCTCAAGTGGTCGATGTCGAAATTGAAGATGGAGATGAAAAAACGATTCTTCAGTAGTTTGTACGAAGCCTGTAAAACAGAAACAAGGATATTATGGGAACAAATATGACCACCAAAACATCTTAAATGTATCCTCAGCACTGATTGTTTCTGCAACCTATATGATCAACAGCGTACTTTTATGGTCCCGAAATTTGAACCAAGAATATTCTGGGGGATAATGGTTAATAAAAGGCGTTAGGGACAATGTTTAAGCGAAAGGCCAGCATTTCCTAGAAGCTTTTTTCAATCTGCAGTCCAATTTAATTTCAACTTAAGACATTTGACCTTGACGCAAATAGACCTTGAAGCTGTCCTGCCTTGTCTAGCGCTGCTTTGTCTTGCCTTGTTCCTCATTTCCCTGCCTTGCCTCGCCCTGACCCTCTTTGCCTTGCGCTGTGCTGCACTCAAAACTTCAATACTATTTCTCTTGACGTTTGACCTTGACCTATATACGGACCTTGACAGATTGTCTTGAAGTTTTGAGCGCATGGTAGGTCAGCGAACAAGGAGGGGCAGGGTAGTGCAGAGAAATGAGAGGCAGGTCGGCGCAAGGCATGGCTGGGCACGAAGGTGATAGGAAAGACATTAATTTTTAGAAGCTTTTTCAATCCGAAATCTGGATGAATTTTAATTTGATATGTTTTTTAGGCCAAGGCTAGATGTCTATAAATGATTTCTTGAAGATTTTAGAAACAATACATTGATTACATTTTCAAACAAGCAAAGATTGTGTGATATTACGAACTCTCTTTTTTTCCAACCTAAGTCGCAAGTATTAGTGCTCTTTTTGAAAGTGCTCTTTTATTGCAGTATAATGCATAAGATCAACAAGACTGCTCGTATCAGGGCGCAGCCCTGAATGTTCCGACTGCCTTTTAAAGTTTATGGAGCAGTAATAACATTTAAAAAATTAAATGTAATAAACCAAAATGAAAATTTTTTTCTTCTAAAATTTGAGATTTTTTGCAAAAATCATCCCCGCACACGCCATATAGAGTACAAAAGAATAGATTTTGCTCCTTGTAACAAATCAATTATGGCAAATAAGCTTCTTTCAACCAATTTGGAACGAATTTTAAGACGGATTAAATCTTCGCTTACGCGTTAATAGCGCGAAATATATCGCGCGTTAATTGTCCCAAATTGGCCAATAACTTCACGAAAAATGATCACAGGTGAAATATCGTTTCTAATTTGAGCTCAGGACAACAATATTTTTTGAATGGTATAAAAAAAATTCGTCAAAAATGGCTAGTTAAAAAGTCGAAATTTGTCTGATTGTATCGAAAGTCAGAACAATAACCAGCGATTTAGTACAGCAAATGCTAAGGATTTTAAGACACACTATTGTATTACAAGTAGCACTTAAGCTTCAAGGTGTTATGGTTCTGTAGCTTTGAGGTAGGGAAGGAGACGAGCAGCAAAATAAGACGGTTCGAACCTGGGGAGGGTCGGATGTTCTTAATGAACTTTTTCATATACTAGTTAAAATGCGTCCGCTCTATAAATTGAGGCATGTTCGTTGGTAATTTCTTTTTTCAAAATGACTGGTACTGCTAATGCGTCATAATTGGCTTGCGTCACCTAGCAATTATGTAGACTCATAATTGGCGTGCGTCACTTGAGAAATTTTGTAGACTCAAAGTTTTAATCATTCAGTTTTTGCCAGTAGCGTTTTCGGTCATGTTTTTGCTTGTGTATGCGACGTGCAACTTCACCTTTGTGTCAAATTATAAATTTAACTCAAAAGTTAGAACCTTCGGTTGCATGTTAACGAAGCTGCCTTTTGTTTTTGCAATTTCAAAGTAAAAATTTAGCCTTCTGTTATTTTGGTTTCAGGAATTATCTACAAAATTATGAATCTTTCGGAAATTTTTGAAAACTTGGAGAAAATTTAAAATTTATTTCAAATTCAAATTTTTTGTACCCGTAGCTAACGGAAATGTAATTTAGGGTTGCAAATCCAATGCCAAAATTTTCCCGAAGCTCGTACTTAATAAGATATGAACGATTTCACAATTTTCATTAAAAATTCTAAAATTTTAGAGATGAAAAGTTCAAAACTCGTTTGTACCCGTACTTGCATGCTAATGGGGTGTATTTTTGGGTTGTAATTTTAAAAATGATAAATTTGTGTGCTTCCAGTTAGTATCTTTGTGAACTTCCAGTTAGCATCCAAAGCGCGTACGCAACGACTCAATTCGCGCGCATTAGTTCTTAGTGAGACGCAAATTTTTTCATTAAGTATTGAAAACCATTTCGACTCTGCTGTCGCCGCCAATGTGAATTCTAAGGAGAAAGAAAAGATTGCGCGCACCAAACATGTATGTGAAGTACACAGGAAAAGGAATATTTCATTCACTAAAGCGCGTGACTGGGATGTGAAGAAACATAGGCGAGGGGCTAACGCTTGCTACGCTTCGATTGGCTGCGCTTACTTTCGGCAACAGGTATAAAGCGCACGAATCAGTGCTTGATAATGGTCTATATTGTCAATTATTTGATATGCTAAAATTTTTCTTTCTAATGAACTAGACAAGAAAAGTACTCCTAAGCATTGCAGGGTGTTCAGATTGCAGTATTACACGTGCGTGAGCAAGTGTCTTGTAATCGAGCACTAGACTTTTTCCGTTAAAAACTTTGTTTTGCCTCTATGTAACGCCTACTTCTACCAAGAATTATCAAATCGAAAAAAATGTCTGGCCAGCAGCTGTTTTGAGCATGTATTCAATGGTTGTTTCAATGCTTGATGGATGTTTTCAATTTTGTTTTAGTGTTGGTTTATAATCCAACTCTTTTTTTTAAGCCAATACTTCTCGTTTTTTGCTTTAAAGTTTCAGCAGCTTGAATGGTTCGTCCTATATTATTTTAGTTAATTAACCTCATAAATCGTCGTTTGAATGACTTAGAGTTTATTTTCAATCGTGTTGAGGGAAGGGAGTAAAAATTGGGAGTACCGAGTTTGTTTTTGGTTCAATGGTGTTCTTCCCAAGTACTGTCTGCTTAGTTAACGCCTGATAACTGTTCCGACTTTCGATACGAAAGTAACGGAATATTTGTGCTAGGGGAGGGTTTATTCTTCAGACAAATTTCGACTTTTTAACTAGCTATTTTTAACGGAATTATATCATTCAAAGGTATTGTTGTCCTGAGCTTAAATTTTAAAAGATATTTCACCTGTGATCGTTTTTTGTAAAGTTATGGGTTTAAAGATTGCCATTTTGGCCAATTTGGGACAATTAACGCGCGATTACAGCGTAAGCAGATATTTAATTCGTCTTAGAAATCGTTCCAAATTGGTTGAAAGAAGCTTATTTGCCTTAATTGATTTGTTACAAGGAGCGAAATCTATCCTTTCGTGTTTAATATGGCGTGTAGGGGGATGAGTTTCATAAAAAATTTCGATTTTCAGAAGAAAAAAAATTTTTTCGTTTTTTTACTTTATATTTTTTTGGTTATTACTGCTCCTGAAACCTTAAAAGGCAGTCGGAATATTCAGGGATTCGCTCTGATATGAGCAGTCTTGTTTTTTTTCAAATCATTATTTTCATTGGTAAGTGTGTTTTCCAGCATCTCTCAATTTAAATCGCATTTAGGACAAACATAACAAACATTTAGGAAAATTTATTTGATGTTTTTTTTTGCTTCGATACTGTGTACTAATCTTATTTTAAGGTTACCATGATTTATCGCAGTGAATTAATCAATCAGAATCTAAATAGCTAATTTGTTGTTTCGGATAACTAAAAATCAAAGTATGAATCCATTATTAACGCCAAACAATTTGAAGCAGTCAAATTATTTTTGAGTTTTTTCAAGTTGTGATTGCACAAACAAAATACAAGTTATTTTTGCCATTGGACGCACAAGCTAAAGCTAAACAAAATCTCAGTTTTAATTTCATTTTTAATACTTTTTTTAAAAGTTATTACTGCTCTATAAACCTTAAAAGGCAGTCGGAACATTCAGGGCTTTGCCCTGATACGAGCAGTCTTGTTTCTATTTTTGAATTTTCTCACTCTTTAAAGAATTTGCGAATTGCAGCGTCGCCTCTGTGTTACAGTGAACATTTTTTTCTAGATATATGGCTTGCTGGATGATACATGGAACAAATGTGATCAGCTAATCAGAACTGAATATTTAAAATGCTTATAAAACTTGTGATAGAAAGTCTCAAGAATATCATACTACTCCAAAAGCCAACTCAATTTGCAGTCGGGCTGATTTGTACTAGGTGCTTGCTTCTCCGAGAATCAAAATGTGTAAAAAATTTGTAACAAAATGAGAGCGGGCTCAATTTCAGTTATTATTACATCAATTTTCACTGTTTTACTTAATTTTGAACCCGTATTTTTTATTGCTGTATGATTTTCTCAAAAGATGTTAGTAAAATTCTAAAGGATTTTTTCCCCTCGTCAACTTTTTGTCCAAAGTTAACCAAATTTGAGAGAAAATTTTGCTTTAGATTGTTTTGTTTGGTTATATTAAATTAGCACTATAGGATTTTGTTCGAAACTGAATGCAGTGAAAGTTCGGCGAACAACGAAAACATACGTGGAACAAAATATAATCCACCTTACAAAATTACATCAAAAGAAATTGGCTAATTTTTGCTGCCTGTTGCAAAAAAGTGGATTCATTAGCCCAAAATATTTGTGAAATGAGAGAGGATTCATAAAAAACGTGTTTTTAAAACACCCTGTAGATATGAACATTGAAACAACGTACGTGGAAGTAAACGCAGCATATACTGGAGGGTTTCCAGAACTCGTCTTTCTCCATGAGGAGCAGTGAGGTGTTGCTGTTCCCTATCCTAGATATGTCGAGGGACACCTGAAGCATACGCTTATAACTTTCACCTTAGATTTGACTCGAGATAAACTTAACTGAAAATGTACGCTCTCAAATTGATTTAGTTTTCACACTGGATGATGTTTCAAGCATTTTTTACGCTTATGTGTGCCTTAGTTTTTTAAAAAAAATTGTGAGGCGGCAACTCGTCGCAGATGGCTGCGACTATTGGTAACATTTCAAAAAGCAACAATTCGTCGCAGAGTAGTTTACTTTAACCATTGGAAAACTAATTTGAAATAAATACTGTAGCAATGCCAGACAACCAAACAACCCTGCCTTAGCGGGTGGGTAATTCGATATGGAATTTTTCACGGAACTAAGCAATGAACTCTGATGAAATTGATTTGATGAAATTGAACTCTGATGAAATCAATTTTTCTTAATTGTGATGAAGTATTACATGCTATGATTGACGCGTGCGGCCAATTTCCGCCATATCGTTTAAAATGACGTGTTTGTAATGTAGTTTATTTAGTTGCTTTGGCTTTGTAAGAGAAATGATTTCTATTACCAGTGACTGCCACCCCAGTTGTGACCAGGTATTGTTGACGATGTTGTTGACCAGTAGAACCACTTCTGGCTCTACTGGTGGGTTCCACGGTTTGCTGTTCAGTTTGAACACCTGCGAGGCAGCGTTGATGCGCTCAGAACCTGAAGCAATGTCTGTCTAAGAATGTTAAGAATGCGTTAGCAAATGGAACTCGATGAATCTGGAATTTTCAGTGCTCGTTTAGGGCATAATTTCTTGTTTTTTACATGGCGGTTTCAAATGATATGAGAGGACTTATTTTTTTTATCAATTGCTGGTTTTATGGCTCTTTCAGAAATCGTGTAATTACCTTCAAATAACCGACCCCTTATACTACCAACGTGTGCGCGTCGTACTGATAAATCATCTCTGCTAAACTAAAAAGATCTGGAGAGTTCGTGCGTTGGTCCTTCCCTTGTGAGTGATTGGGCGTGATTTAAACCTTGTACATTATATATAACAGTAGTGGTTGAAGATCTAACTCTGTATGTTTGTGGTCTGGAATTCGTGGTTGGTTATGATGTCGGTGACCAAGTCCTCCAACTCCTTCGGAGCCATCACCAGTTCCAGTCTGTTGTGGTGGGAGAAGTTGAAGGCACACAGTCCAGCTGAAGAGTTGAATTGTGACGTCATCAGATCCCTCTCAACACAACTATTTGTGATGGCCACTTTCTTAAACACAACTTTTGTCACAGTCACCTCAAAAACAAATCTGATTAACTTTTTTAATTATACTGACAAATGAATTTAAGCATTAGTATGTATACGTTTAAGACAACGTCAAAATAAATAGGCGAAACCATGACTTAATTTTGTTCCTTTTTGTCTCATTTTTATATGGTTTTTGTCCAAACTCGCGGCGGAAAACTTTAGAAAATATAACATTAAAGTGACCTTTGAGAATATGAGTGTTTGTTGTGCGTTGTTCGACAGATGACAAGCGAACTCGAAGTTGAGTCCCATGCATCTGAGACAGGTGAACAGCTCCATCATCAACAGAGCACAGTCGGTGGAGGAGGCCTTGTTGCTGCTCTCCCAGGGTGTCTTGCCCAGTTGGATGGTGAACGAGTTGGACAGGGAGGCGTCCGAGAAACGACCAGAGTCTGAAAAAACTATGTGACAGTTAATTTGAGCGTATTGAAGTTTTTAAGTAATTTTTCAAATTATTTTCATATTCTACTGTTTTTAAAATTCGGGCATTCAAATCAAGTAGATCGATATAAACCCAAAGTGGGAGGGGGTGGTAATGCCAATTTGATATTATACTCCTGTGACAAATGATCGTCGAATAAGATTACTTGATAGTTTAGTAATGCCTTTTAACAAATGTTTAAAAAATGATTTTCGCACCCGTTGTGGTGACCCCGGGTGACCACATCTTGCGACAACACTGCAGCACAGCTGTGAACACCTCGTCACTGCAGTTGATCAGCTGCATCTTGTTGGACATGTACAGATTAACAGCACTGTACACCTTGTGCTCCTCCGAGTCCGACCTGTTTTACACATTGAGACATTCTAGGATTGAGACAACCCCTTTGGTCTGTTTTTTTTAAAGCAAATAGTACCCACTGCCGTATGATATCGTATAGAACATGAAAAGTATATGTTCGCTATTATTTATTTTTACAGTTTGACTGTCCCTATTTCCGCTGATTGTCAAATGACATTGATGATGCAATAAGCGCTTTCGGTTTAGACAGACACTGATTGAGGTAGATTAATCTTCGGACAATAAGAGCAGAATGTTGCGACTGACCTCTTGAAGAATATGGAAGAGAGGGTGTTGCATGAGTTGAGATTGAGTGCCATAGATGCCTCCCACCCTACGAACGAGAGGTTCTGCAGCATCTGACACAGGGTGTCGCAGAAGATCTTGTGGTCGTCCCGCTTCACAAACACGGGCTTGCTGTACGCGAACGGATACCTGTGAGGAGACATTTATCTAAGCGTTCCTTATGTCGTTAGCGCAAAAAGCAAATTAATTTTTAAAGACTTTTTTGAAGTTGTAAGAGGTAACAGCAGTTTTAACTTAACAATATTAGCTTTTGACTGATAAGTATCGAATTTATTTTGAGATTTTCTTAGATCGGCTTAGATCTATTTCAGAACTTAACTTCTCTACAATGATAGACGAGAAACTGGTTGGCTCAAATAAATGCGCTCTGTAAATGATTGTACTCGCATCACGCTAAATTGGGCATCTATTTTTTAAGAAGACTACATGATTACATGCGGATAATTGGATACAGTAGGAGAACTTCAACTTGTTAGTGACAATCGTGGAGCAAAAACACGCGGGCTTAACATTGAATGAATATGAGCTGGGGTTCAACGAATTGGGATCAACAGCTTTGAGATTGAGAAAAAGGGAGTGAAACAATCGGAGTGTGCAAAAGTAGAGTGATAAACTGAACTTAAGTACGAATGGAGTATTCATTAAAAGGGCTGACCCGTTGAGTTTGAAGTTGATGCAGTTGTAATCCAGTTTCTCCTTCTGGATGCCTGGCGAATAGAACTGCAGGATGGCAGCCTTGATGACCCGGTAGAGGTCCTGTGATATGTTAAAGAGACGCAGCACATCCTCCGTCCAGAAGTCCAGGATGAAACTAATAAGCACAGCACATGTCATGTATTGAATTATTGTTCCGAACATTTGAAAAATGAGGAGGTTTTTTTCCACGCAAAATCAGGTACCACAAATCAGGGGCGGATTAAGGGGGGGGGGGGGGGCGGACGCCCCCTCCCTTAGGAGTTCGAACCCCTGTCGACCCAAAGGGTCCCCTCTTTGAACTATTTTGAGATATCCATTTTTGGCTGACAGACCCTAAAATTTTTCTAAAGGCGCTTTTGGCGCCGCCAATATATACTTTTGAGGGAGGAGCGCGCGCCGAGAAAATGCGATTTTTTGGGTCAAAAAGTGCCTAAAAACGCTTTTTTGGCCTGTTTTTTCAAAAGTTAGCATGCGGCGCTGGAAATTCGCCAACAAGGTCTTTTTTTAGTACTTAGGGAGAGCTCAGAAAATCAAATTGGTCGGCCTAAAGAAAAAGGTCGACAAAATTTTCGAATTTTTTTTTGAAAATCCGCCGCCCCCCCCCCTCGAGAAAATCCTAGATCCGCCCCTGCCACAAATAATCATTAAAATTAGCCGAGTGATAAAGCCCTTTCAGCCGTGATTTGTTCGACTTTTGAAAAAAATTTTTCTCAATATTGAGAAAAACCGGTTTGAAATTTATGGTTTTTGGTCTAATTTCGAGCCAATAAGTGAGCGTGCAGGCTTACACTAGCTTAATTAACCTTGATATAAGCCGTGAAAGTCTAACTTTTTTCGAGTAAAAAAAGGTTTCGGGCAATTTTTAGCGCCATTTTAAGAGCCAAAAACTTCGAAAATTCAAAAAATTTCTGCAAAAAAAAATTAGAACGTTTTTTTTTGAAAATGTTATTGGACAAATTTGCTTTTAAAATGTATACAGATCTCACGCTTCAATAGTTTTGACTATTTTGCAGACGAAATGTAGCAATTTTTGAGACAACTTGGAACATACCCGAAACGCAGCCCAAAAAGATTTATACTTGTGATGAAAACTTATTTACTTATTTTATGAGCAAAAAAAGACACAAAACAAAGAAGCGAACCCTAACCGACAAAATTTAAACCATGGAAATTATTCTTTTGTGTTTTTGCTCTCTGTGGCTCAGAATATACAGAGGAATCCATCGCCGCAAAAACTAGACTCCGATACAGAAAAGACTGTTATTACTGATTCATGTCATGCATATTTTTTTGGTTTCTTATTTTTTTTAAATATTTGAAACCATATATGTTGCAACGACGCTTAAAGAGTGATAAAGAACTATAGTCTGGACATGCGGATTTGATCATGCAACTTCAGACAAGTTAAAGAGCTGTCACAGGATCGTTATGGCTGCATTTTAAAGTTTTTTCAGTCATAAGCCTATTTTCAAACACAGGCAAAGCGGAGCTTCCCACTACTTGCCATACAACAAAATAAGAGCGGAAACTAGCCGACAAAAGTAGGACAAGACACTTATTTGAAGAAAAATATTGAAAAAAAAACAATCATTGTTTTACATTTGTCCCAAAGGCCGTTGAATTTGAGAAATGATACTGACCAGCCCAATTGCCAGAATTTGATTAAAAAATTTTAAAATGTTCATCAAACAGTAACTGAGCAAACAAAACAATACTTGGAGAGGCAAGTAATGAGCCAAAAATAAGGCTGCAAAAGCTTTCGAACTACAAAAAAATTCAAAACTCAAGGTGTTTTACCTCCAAAAGTACAAATGTAAAATAAAAGTATTTTGGCCCTTCAAATGACAAACCACGAGGAAACAGATTTTACATCAGTAAAAAAATTGAGCCAAAGAAGTGCTAAAGTGAAAAACCCGTAATTCATCAGCGATAAAAAAAAAGACAAGACTGCTCGTATCAGGGCGAAGCCCTGAGTGTTCCGACTGCCTTTAAAGGTTTATAGAGCAGTAATAACTTTAAAAAAATAAATGTAATGAAATGAAAGGAAATTTTTTTTTCTTCTAAAATTTGAAGTTTTTTTTGCAAAAATCATCCCCTCAAATCTCATATAAAACACAAAAGAAAAGATTTTACTCCTTATAACAAATCAATTATGGTTAATAAGCTTCTTTTAACCAATTTGCAACAATTTTTAAGACGGGTTTTTAAGACGGGTTAGTAGCGCGAAACATATCGCGCGTTAATTGTCCCAAATTGGCCAAAATGGCAATCTTTAAACCCCCATAACTTCATGAAAAAAGATGACAGGTGAAATATTTTTTGACTGAAATAATGTTAATAATGACTGCTTAAAGGCAACAACAAAAGTTCAAATTGAACGGCCATTTAGAAAGCAGACATGCTCAAAAAATATTTGGTGCCGGTTGTTGCATCAGAGCAGACGTCAACTGATTCAACTGTTTTTGTTAAACTAGTTGTTAGCCCGAAAAAAATCTTTGTCCGAATTAATAAAAATAGTTCGGAAAACTTTACCCTTGTTTTATGATTTTTTCTTTGTTATGACTCCTGTAGTCGGAACACTGGGTCGTATTTACCGGAAGTGACTGAATAATGTTCTCTGGCTAGTTTTCCTCTCCAAACTATTTTTAAAATTTTAACTAGCTTTTTTTGACATTTTTGTATATCGCCCAAAAATTTTTTTCCTAGGCTCAAACTTAAACAAATGAATTTTTTCAACGCTTGTTTTTTTTAAATATATATAAATTCATGAACTGTTTTCAGGGCGAACACTATTCTGCTGAGTTTAAAAGGCAGGCCGGAACAGTCAGGGCACCGCCTTGATACGAGCAGTCTTGTTTGAATGGTATCTCACCACGGACTCTCAAGGTCGACTATGTCTCGAAGTGAAGAGTCTGCCATCGGAGCTTGCGCAACAACGTTTTGGTTCCCAAGAAAAGTATCAAAGATAAATTCAGTAACACGGCACAGATCAAAGATATGGAATCAATTAATAAAAAGGCCCCTTTGTTTGCTCACTGTCGCCAAAAATGAGAAAGCGGAAGGAAAAAAACTGGATAAAGGGCAAGTAAATTTGCCAATTCAGAGCTTCTCAAATCCTGTTGGCAGATCAGCTTTATCTTAACTTTAACATGTAACTCATAATATAAATCACTTTCGGCGCTTGACCTTGGTAAAATTATTTCAACCCATTGTAGATGTCAAACAGATGGGCAAGAAAAAAGCCGGTAATTGTTCAAGTTTTCTGAAATATTTGTCTAAGAATTTTTCTTAATCACAAAGAATCACCGATGCTTCAAAACGAGTTTCTGCTTGATCAGAGAGTCCTTTTTCTTGATTTCAAAAAAATTCTCAAATTTAATATTTGAGAGCTGGTTTAGAAGTTAAATCTGACATTACTCTATTTAACAAGTTTAAATCTAATTAAGGCAAGATTTGTCTAATCACTATGACACAATGCAAAGGAGTGGACAGTGGTCGAAAATGTAGAGAAAATCCAAAATTCAAACTTGATTAGACTTCCTTCAAAACTTGGGAACAAGTTCGGTAAGACAAACAGAAGAATTGAAATGATATATGACTTGTAATTTAATTCAAAACATGCTCAAGACGTACAAATTTCGAGTACTTAGGGCAAATTTTGAATTGTTTATCTTTTTTCTGTATAAATGGCACGCAAGATCCCGTGGCGCTGAAACATTTCGTGAAACGAGCGATCCATGTCGAAATAAAACCAACGTTAAATGTCAAGTTTGAGCGAAAACAGCTTGGAAATGGGGGTAATGTTATTTAGCACAAGGGCAAATTTAAGGCACTGGTGCTTTATATCTATACTTATGGGGGACTGTAAGTCTTCTACTTGTTGGTTGCGTGGGATATCGAAGTTGCACGTATGAATCAGACGGTAGTGAAAGAAAAGGGAGAAAAAGAAATAAGCAGGGCAGGGGTAGGTAAGAAACGTATCAATCTTCTGCTATTTATTTGTCCGTGGTGCAATTTCCCATTTCAGAGAGAGCTATGATAACTAGTATTTTTCACGGAAATGTCAGCGCAGAATCCGAATATATTGGGACCACTGCAACATGCAGATAAAATACTACTGAAGTAAAAGCGCACATGTTGTTTATATTCTACACGTTTTAAGCTTCATGGATATAAAAAATGGTTGGTAGACACAGTTAATCTCTACATGTTGGAAAAAATGGCTTGTAAAAATGGAAACGGAAAAATGTTCGCGGTAACATTATTGGTTGAAAAAATGTGGCGTTAGCTTGCAAGCACATCAAACAACCATTTAACCATGTCTTTTTTCACCAGGATGCAAAAGATCTTTGTGATTTTGATGTATTAACTCCAAAATTAGCCAAAATTGTATTAGCCAAAATTGTTCAAATATTTAGATCTTTTTCCCCGCCTTTTGCAAAAGGGGTAGATTCGTTACTAGGTTTAAAATTCACATATGCTTATTTGAATTATTTCATTATAGGGGTGGCAATTTAATACTAGGTACTGTGGGGAAGTTAAAAAGATCCAAACATTTTTAAAACGCCACATTTTCCGTTAAATTTTGTACTATAATGCCAATTTTACGACTAATAAAAGCACACTGTTTTTGAAAGTTTCAAGAATGAACTAAATGTTTTCCTTCCGACAAAATGCATAATGCTTGTCTAGATTTGTTCATAGAAAGGGCCACATAACTTGGTACTAAATTTGCAAAGCTTGGGAAATAGTTTTCGAAAATCAAAGCGCAGTTTGGAGTGGAATTGCTACTTTGATCAAGAGTTTCCACGACCAACGGTTCCTGGCGTCAAAATAGTTCAGATAGCTTAACATCAAAATCAGTTTCGACTCTGGTGTCCAATTTTAGTCTGAAAAAGGTCCAGTGAAACGTAAAAGAACGTCGTTTGATTAAACGTAGTTTCAAGGATTACAGCCCAGAAATCAAACATATGTCGGCGAGACACTTATCTACAATTCATTGCTCTACATGGCCTTGCAAATTAAACTGCAATAAAATACGCTTGAAATGACAAGCTATATTGTTAAATTTGTGCTATATTTTATCTTTATCAATGTTCGATGGAAATGAGTACTTTTTATGTTTTACGTTTTATGACCGGCGTTTTAACTTTTATGACCAAAAAATGGTCAGGTAATGCCATCACGCTACAATAGAGGTACAAACAGCAACTTCTTGTGACCAAAATAGGGTCGTGTAGCATTCTAAATGAATACTCCCAGTTAAGTCTATAAGCAGCGACCAAATTGACCAGGCTCGCAAATTGCTTTTAAAAACAGTTATTTTTCTGAATTGAGGCTCAAAGTTACTTAACAATTGCTTGCTAATTTGAAAATAGTGACAAAATCGACAGCGGGTGGTTTAATGGTGCAATTATTACTGTAAGATTAAAAAGTTGAATTTCCTGACAGAACTTTCCACTATATTATACCAGCTGACATGGGAAAAGCTAAACTTTTCTTTGTAATAAGCAGTAGGGGATCTAGGATTTTCTCGGGGGGGGGGGGGGGGGGGACCGGAATTTTAAAAACTTTTTTTTGTCGACTAAATTGATTTTCTGAGTTCTCCCAAATCACTATATAAGCCCTATTTTGACCAAACTTTCTGTGCCGCAGTCAAATTTTTGAAAAAGAGTTTTTAGCCACTTTTTTGAAATTGTTGACCAAAAAGTCGCGTTTTGGCGCGCGCGCGCTCACCTCAAAACTAGTAAGTTTTGGCGCCGAAGGTGACTTTAGTAAAATTTTAGATGGCAATGTTCAATTCAATCAGTGTTTCCCGGCTAATCTACGACTGTTACGAATTGTCGCTTGTTACGAATTGCCGCTTGTTACGAATTGCCGCTTGTTACGAATTGCCGCTTGTTACGATTTGTCGCCTGGTACCAATTGTCGCCTCACGCCCAATAACGGCATTTTTGTACTGTGTTTTTTTTGAAAAAATTGCCAGCGTCGCTAAATTGTTGTCAAAATACGTTTTTTTTTGTCTAATAGTTTCGTCAAAATACAGAAAATCAGTTTGGTCGACCTAGAAAAAAAGTCGGCAAATTGTTTAAATTTTTTTCGAAAATCCGCCGCCTTGAGAAAGTTTTTGATGGTAGATTCTACTCTATAACCCGTTTGTCCCCATATATTTTTATTTTTTTAATACTTGACTTAAAACAAGCCTGCCTTCTTAAAACTTAAAATCTAATGAACATTTCCAAGTTTTTTTAATAAAACAATTTTTGAACTTTTATTACAAGGCGTTATGAAATGTCCTTTTGTATCACGAAAAAATAATTTGCAGATAAAACTTTTTCAAAGTGGAGCATAACTATTTTGCAAAATGTTTCAAATATATTTGCAAATATATAGACCTAAAGTTTGTCTGGATGTAAAATCCACGCCCAGAATAGAAACAGAAAATCTGGAAATATGCTATGGAATCAGAATTAATTGTGAAAGTTGAAGTACAAATCAAGAAAACAAAACAGAAGGGCTGGTCTCGGATAGCTGGTCTCGGAAAGTTTCTGATGAAAAGATTTCTGATACACTATAAATGTAGGGCTAATCAAATCGAAACCTAAATTTTGAGTTTAAATTAGATGGAATGCAATATGCCCAATTAATTTGCCTCAGTTCAATAAAGTTTTTAGCGATCTGAAATTTGCATTGTGTAAATATTTCGCGTTATAATCTCAGCTTCATTGGTAAGTCTTAATGAGCGTGCATTAAAATAATCCAGAACAAGGCCACATTGGCAATATTTGAAGCCCCCAATTTTTTCAGAAAACTATAGCAAGAAAATTTTTTTACATTTTTGCTCAGACAGTTGTTATCCTCATTTGGGTGTGAGTTTTTTTGTTAAAAACCTGGACTTCAAATGTCAGTTTTGGTCCGAATTAAACACTCATGCTTAAAAAAATCTGTTCGTTTTGTCCCAATGTGGATCAAAAACCAATTAACCAAAACCCAAGTAACCTCAATTTGTTTTTCAAAGAGTGTTCCTAAATTAATGCTGCTGATTTAACTGAAGATAATTTAGAAAATCAAAAATTTTCTTCGAACACTGACTGGAATTAGTTTATTTTCACTTTTAAACTAATCAATTGCAAGATCCCGCGAAACCAGAACATAGAAACTTCAAAAAATGATTTATTTGGGAAGCAATAAAACAATTTTTCTGGGAAACTTTAGTAATTTTTTAAGAAAAAATTAATCCTCACATATGATAAAAACGAAAGCATCTGTTTTGTTATCCGTCCGCATATGTACCCTTTGCATCTACATAAAAACCTATTTATTATAGTATTTATTTATTCAGCCTAAGTTAAGGCTGAAAAATTTATGTTCGAACTTGAAGGCCAAACTTCAGGTGCTTTCGTGGCATCATAATAATCTAAAATAACCAAAGCTATCACGTTGCTTAGTGACAGTCATTTTTGCGTTTTTGAGCAGTTATAGACCTAATCGTGAAATGGTGTGTTCTAACTAAGCTTGGTGACTAGCACTAATTGTTTTGTTTTACCTCTATACACCTACCTTAGCATTCGCGTTGTACTACATGGCACAGCAAGCAGTCGATCAAAAGAACTCACTGAATATACCACCATTTTGGCTCAAACCACCAAAACACCAGTCGAATGAGAAAAACGGGTAGGGGAACTGCAAATGACTATAATGGCCAAGGAGAACATAGACGTGAATACCCTGCGCACAACCAGGCCAAGGCAGTACCAAAACCAGCAGAACGTATTTACATTTACAAGGAGGAAATACATAACGAAATTAACCCTCAAAAACGAGACAGAAGAGTCCGCAAACAAGAGAAGAGTATTCGTTGTGCAAACGAAGTGGCTAAATCAAACGCAAAATGAGAAATGTGTGGTTCACTCTTGTGTCACGAAGCATCCACAAAGGCAAAAAGCTACTTGTAGTTATGCCTCGGGCACGAGTCATAAAGACAGTTCAGACAACGATTACCAAATGTGAACCTGACTTCAACCTCCGCAAAAGACCTTTGGGACGAACTAGCGGATTGTTCATCACCCAAAAAATTGTAAATTTGAAAGATAATTTCATTCGCCGCATACAGAAAAAAAACTAAACACTTGAACAGTTTCACGCAGAGTTACAAAGCGGTGATTGCGAGGAAAAAGGGGTACGCGACATGTTCACAGCACCTTTGCCTAATGAAAAGATCTCAGAGGAACTCCTCGCAGAACGAAAAACTCCAAGAGATGCATATGACTGCGCCATTGAGACGGAAAAGGGTATATAACACATTTATTCTAAACATCATTTCGAGTGACATACAAGCGCGACAGGAAATTCTCTTCAATGTAATTCAGGAAACTGTGGGGCTCGTAAATCAGGGAAAAAATGAGCCCCCATTCGGAAGAAGAAGTGGCCGTGGAAACACGAGCTCCCAAAGCTGGGGACAGTTTCTTTCAATGAATAAACAACCACAGTCCCACGTGACCGAGACAGTCCAAGCAAAATTCTCAATCTGGTAACACATTTTCGGCAGGTCATCTACAGATATGCCCAACCAATGTTAAAATATGCTGAAAAAGCAGAAGGGGACATTTTAAAAAAAAAGATGTCGAATGTCAAATGTCAATTGTGTCAACGAACAAGGAAACGAAACTGATGACCAACAACAGCAGAAATCACACGCAAATAATGTAGACCAAATAGGATTCTTGGAATGTACTGCAGCAAACGGTTGGTAAACAATTCAAGACGTCAAATAGAGGGTGAAGACAATCCAAGAAGACAATCCAATATTAAAAAAGTAATTGACTACAAGGAAGACGAAATCAATAGACATTAGATAAAACTAAAAATAAATGGAGATACCATAACAGTAATTGCAGAATCCTGTAGCTCAATATCCTTTTTCAATGGTTATGGAGCAGCATATATGTACAAAAAAACGATTAAAAGTGCCAACTAGAAACAAGAATCAAACGAAGACGAGGCACTAAAATTGGCATTCTACAAAAGAGTAAAATACATGTAGGCCAACATTTTATTCCTCAATCGCCCTTTAAGATTCCAAACGCCCTTTTTTCATTGTGGTGAACGGTCACAGAGCCAACATAGTGGGAAGAAAAGTTCTGCCACTGATTTAAATCAAGCTGAAACAAGAGAATTCAAAACACCAAATGGTGCT